GAAGCGGAGTCCAGCCCGGGGTCGTCACATGTGGTTGTCGCAAGCCCGCCGGACACTCCTTCATCGAATCCACCGGCCGAGCCGTTCTCAATTGTATGTTCTCAAAAGTATGGCTACTCTGCTCACTCAAGGCCGCGGTGTGTGATGCTTTTTCGTTGTGAAACAAATCAGTGGTTAAGTTGTATTCAGATATTCAGATGTGTGCAGCACATTTTACGGAGGACTGTTTCTTGATCCTGGGAGAGTAGACTACAATGCCGGCTGTTCTGACTCACAGACTGTAAGTATGTTTTTTATATTTAAAGAATTTGCCACTGATGATTCAAACGCGAGTTTTTTGGGCAGTGTAGAGTAGCGCTTGTTGTTTGTCATTTCTCCGATCACAAATGCAGACATGGTTTTATGTTATGCTCCGCCAGACAGGGCATCACAGTATGGTAGGGGCCTAACATTTCCATCACACGCTTGAGGTATTCGGCCAATCACAACGCACTGGATAGCTGGCCAATCACAGCACACCTCGCTTTTCAGACCGATGAGCTTTGTAAAAATCAACGTGTTTCAGAAAGGCGGGGCATAGAGGAGAAACAATAATGTACATTATGTGGAAAATAATGTGTTTTTTGAACCTTAAACCGCATAAACACATTTCATTACACCAAATAATGTTCTTTATAGCAACATCATATGACCCCTTTAAGTTCAGTGCATTCATCCAGGCTAACTGTGGACGAAACTGTACAAGCTAAAGGCAGGTGTACTGCAGACATTATTACAAGCTGACAACATAGCCTGCAAAGTTGGACTATATTGGTTAACATCACACATATATGCTAAATTATAAGTGGGTTTACTTTTAACAGACCACAAATGTAGGTGAGAACACAACTCTAACAACATGTTCTCTACCTCAGTATCTGTTGTTAAGGTGATTTTGGAAAAGAAAAAAAAATGTTAACATGGGCAGATAAAAAGTAACATATTTAGCTTTAAATTTCTTCGAGGCAGATGAAAGACAGAATGAGAAGACTCATTAAATACAGCACATTAAACACTTTCCAGTTCATGTGGCTGGACCACAGCATATGGATGGATTATATGAATAATGTCATAAACTTAAAGAGCCATCTTTGAACTTGTCTGTCATTGAAAAGCAGCAGATGGCTTATGCATGTGTGATACAGACTTTCTTCTAAAAACATATAACGCTGTACAGTTATGAAAGTTAA